TGCACTTCTTTCTTCTGCGACACTGCAGAATTATTTGTAAGAAAAAAGTTTTGTCATAAAGTTTTGTGTATTTATCAAATTATTATACAGATAGTAAGCAGATTTGTTGTCAAAATGACATTAAAGACTAGAGTTGGTAATTTTTTGCTTTGAAGCTTCGCATTTTTGAAATTGTCAAAAGTAAGCTCTAAAAATAAGTCAAAAGTACAGCTCTAAAAATATCATTTTGACGTTAAAAAAACGACAAATAATGTCAGTTTGATTCTTTGTAAAGTAACGTATTCTTAAAAAAAAAAACAAACTTTGGAATGTTACATTTTGTTTAGTACCAAAAAGACTGCATAAAAAAATGTTCATCAGTTGATGAATTGAAGACCTATTGGCTACCTGGAAATAATTTCACAGAAATTATCTGAAAAAATATCTTGTACCTTCAAGGTGCGCATCAGAAATGCATCAATGATGGCCGCATATTTTTCAAAACTAGAGATGGCCATTTTGAATGTTAATTATTATTTTGGGTATTTAATAAGATATAATTAAAGTACAGAGTTTGTTTTTATTTGTAAATACAGGTTACTAATTTTTTTATCACCCTGTACTCTGAAAATGGATACAAAATCGAAGCGCCGCGTGTCACGAGATGACGTTTCGTCATCGTTACTCCGAAACGCCCTGTATACGTCGACCGCTTTGCGGTTTGGGAAAAACGCGGCACGGATGACCATGCGGAATTTGACACGCGTGACTTCGCTCACTTTGCGCAGCGCGATCCGGATGATCTCGTTTGTAAAGTCATATAATTACGAGCATCAAAAGATGTGGAACGTCGCGCGAAAAAGCGCGCGTGACCGACTCGCCGCGCCATCGTCGTCGTCGTCGTCGTCGTCGTCGTCGTCGTCGTCGTCGTCGTCGTCGTCGTCGTCGGTGTCGTCCTCATCATCGAAAGAAAAGAAAGTGACCGTACGAACGTCTATCTCACCGTTCGATGGATAAAAAAGAAGGCGATCGACGACGAGTTTTCGCCGGTTGCTACATTGCCGAAAAACAGCCTGGCAAGACCAGCTTCGATTACTCGAGATACTCTTTAATGATATTCAAGCATTTCGTATCGAGCTGTTTGTCAGCTCAAATTCAACTTTTTTTTTTATCAATACAGCTCAATATTATTACTTTATGCACAGGTGCAATAAATTTTATTGCAATTATAAAATTATTTTTGTGTGTGTGTGTGTGTGTGTGTGTGTGTGTGTGTGCATATAAAATTAAAAAAAAACAGAAGAAAATAAATAATTAGAAATGCTCGTATATTTCTTAAAAAATTACAAAATGTCATGGCTTATTTCGAACTATAATTAAATTAACTTTAAATTATATAATTTAAATAATATAATCAACAAACGTTTCGGCTTACAAAGCCTTCTTCAGTGTTAAAACGCAGAAATACAATCTTGAATTAACAAACTGAATAAATAACGAATATAATGAAAATTTAAAAAACCATTAATGGTGAAATGTCAATATATAAAGAATTCAAATAAAAAAAGATAGGAATATTTGAATAATTCAGTTAATAGTAGATTAATTATGTTCCTCGATAAAAGTTTTGCCAAATTCTTCGGTTGAAATCGATATTCAAATATTCCTGTCTATCATAATCTTTTTGATGTGTAAATTCTTTATATATTGACACTTCACTTTTGTATTTCTGCGTTTTGTATTTCTTTTAACACTGAAGAAGGCTATGTAAACCGAAACGTTTGTTGATTATATTAGTTTAAAGTTAATTTAATTATAGTTCGAAAGTCATGACAATTTTTAAAATAAATAAACAGATACAAAGCGAATATATAAGGAGTAGACTTTCAAAATGCGTTTTGTCTAAAATTTTCAGAAAATGAGAAATAAAGAAATTCCCCACAGAAGAAAATTACGCACAGAAAATAACGATATGTTAAGCAGTAGGATGTGAAATATTAAACAAAATTACTAAACAATTGCTAAAAATGTTAAGCAAATGCATTTCGTTTATCTTTAGTTAAAAAACATAATGCACTTCGAAGTGTTTCCAGTTTTTTCATATAAATTAACGATGAAAAAATGCTTTCTGAACATCTCAAAGTAGCTTATAATACGAGTCTTTCAACACTGAACACTTCGCCATCTCTAACTAAAAAAAAAAAGAGAGAGAGAGAGAGAGAGAGAGAAATTTTAAACGCATTTCGAATCTGCTTCTCATATATAGAATTATGTGACATTATCGAAAGAGAAAAATTTTTAAAAATCGTAAGAAATTACAAAAAAAGATTGAAGGACTTGTTACAATTGGCTACCCATATTTTATAACAACTTTAATAATAAAAAAATTGAAATTATAAATGAAATTTAAAGTAATATTGATAAAAGCATTATGGACATGTAAACTAATTATACTTGTATCATTCTTGCTGAGGAGGACTCCAAAGAGAGAGACTCGAGACGTTCAAAATAAAGAAGACATCAATATCTGATTATAGATTGTAGAACTAAATAATTGCGCCGTTTATCGTTGCTGACTCTCATTAGCCTACTATGTTTATCTTTTTGTATTGTTTAAAATTCGCGAGTCCCAATACAACTATTATTAATATTGATACTTTTCCTACTTTCCATTTTAGAGTTTATTTATTCCGTTTTTACTAAATGTAGCTCACTGTTACAGTGAACTCTTCAATTAATGGCATTTATATTTATCGTACGTAAATTCAATAAATTTTAGCAGTTATTTGCAAGTTTAAATATTGAAAACCGGATTAGGATAATTATTCCGAATTATCTAATCTATCGTTTGTGTAATTAATTTATAATAATTTCATATAATTTTGAAGTTTCTCGAATATTCGCCTTAGACTGAAGGATGTCTGGTAGATTTCGATTGGAAACGTCAATGAAGCCAATTATTCTTTCGACATCTTATTCGCGGAGTAGCAATTTGCGGTCGTAAAAAAAGAGAATCATATACACACAGGCAATGTTCGCGATCGTGTCAGTTCACTCGCGCTGTCTCGTTTTCATGGCGCGCTGAAAAAATATATACATCTACGACTTGAATAATACATAATAATTTAATGTGCGGGTCTTTTAGAGCCGACGGAATGCGTCAGTGTTGTAAGGACACACATAACGACGCTATTCGTCATATCGCGCGATTTATTCGGCTATAAAAAAAAGCTGGATGCGACAATAATTGCCGATTTTTACGCAATGATTTTTTTTTGTCTGCTTTGGAACAACACGAAAAATGACGATTAGACTAAATTATCATCGTTGAAATACGTCCTATATTTGGCACAAAAACTTTGATACAGAAAGGCTGTTAATCTGCCGTTCAGTACACTGAAAAAAAATTTACTAAATTTTAATGTATATTTCTTCGAATAGTACTGTAAGTAAATATTTACTTACGGTAAATAAATATTCACTCAATAAAAAAATAATAAATCAACACTGAAAAAAAGTTCTGGTTGAAAATGGACGAATCAGAATTTTCTGGTTAAATTTATTAGAATTCTAGTTGAGATAATCAGAATTCTGGTTGATACAATATTTTTGGTAAAATTTACTAGAATTCTCATTTTTACCAGAATAATATCAATTAGAATTCTAGTTATTTCAACTAGAATTTTAGTAGACTTAACCAGAAAATTCCGATTCCATTTTCCACCAGAATTACTACTTTAATTCAACCATTTTTCTCAGTGAAATTAATAGTTTTTGTATGAAATAAACATATATTTAAATATTCACTTAGAACTATTCAAACAAGTAATATTATATATATGTATAATATATATGTACGTAAATATTATATACACCTTCAAAATCTTAAACGTCAAAATGAAGGAATGTCAGCTTGTTTACTAAGAAATTCTTTCGGGTTGGCGATTCCAAATGGAAGGTTTAAAGGCGTTATTTCTTCGAGGAAACGCGAGAGTCTCTTCGCGTCTCTCACGGATCTCGAGTTCGCTCATCTCTTGTCTCGTAGCACATCAAGGACTCGGGAGTGCAAACCAGGACGAACTCGCGTTCGTCCGTGTTTCTGGTATGTCGTATTGCGTCGCATGTTACATGTGTACGTGCATGCGTATGTGCATGCGTTCCACGTGACGCAATCGGATGCCAACGGTTGCAGCAGATCCCGGCATGCTCGTGTTTCGCGGATGCTACCGGTTAACGGTCGCTGATACGCAAAGTCAGACACACACGCACGCATACACGTGCGTACGTGCGAGCAGATACCAAGTCAGAAGCGGTGCCTAGAATGACGTCAAGCGCGGTGAATGGATTTCAGTCTCTAGAATTTAATTTATCGATCCGACCGGAAGAGGCGCGAGCTACCGATCGCGGAAATTCCTTAAAAAAGTCAATCGATAACGAAGCAAAGAATTTTCACCACACTGAGAAAAATGTTCTGGTCTTGGATTAAACAGTAATTCTGATGGATGAATCAGAATTTTCTGGTTACGTCTATTAGAATTCTAGTGGATTTTACCAAAAATATTGTATCAACCAGAATTCCGATTATCTCAAGTAGAATTTTAGTAAATTTAACCAGAAAATTCTGATTCATCCATTTTCAATCAGAATTTTTTTTTGTGCAGAGAATAATATTGAAGAGATTAAATTATTAAATTAATTTAAATTTTTCTACGAAGAGGAGAGAAAAAAATTTTCTGAATAAAATTAAAATATAAGTTGTATTTTATATCTACATTTTATATCTACATTTTTCAAGTAATTTTATATTGTTTTCTTTTTTTTTTTTTTCCACACATTTGCTGAAGTCATAATCGATGATATTCATGTCGTTCAAAGAAGTACAAAATATACTCTAACATTTTGGATGTGAAAAGTTTAAATTTTTTGAAAGGAGACAGTTTTCTCCATAAAAAAAAATAATTGAGCTAAATTAAACTTTGTCTTCCTCATAAATGCAGAAATATCTGCGATTTTACTTTCTGTTAGTTTTCCCATAACATGCCACAGAAAAGGATGTTGCGATGTGATCTATCGTAAATCAAGCAGATACACGGGAACATAGCATTCACAGTCTCGGGGATTTTTTGCGTGTGTTTACAAGCATTGTAAGTGAACAATACGTTACTCGCGGTCGCCGTGATATTATTATTCGTCAGGTTAACATTGACACGATGCACGATGTCGCCTAGTTTCATGCTGTCAGAACTATAATCATGTAGTTGGGCCGTACATAAATCGGGCGTAAAATCTGGAATGCCCAGCATGTCTAATAGTTTATATATTGGCAGGTTATACTCGAACGTGAGATTGTTGATTACAATTGGAAACACCATTTCTTGTATCCCATCATCCAGCAATTTACGAAGTTCTCGAAATCCTTCTTCAGTCGTTAGTTGTTCTATCAATTTGATCAGTTTTTGAATCTCTATTAAAATATTTTCGTCCAACTCCGACTGGTTTGATGGATACAAGAGAAACGTTGATATCTTCTTTTCTTTGCAAGGCAGCTCTGTAATAAATACGTCTAACTGCTCAGATTTGTCTAGAAAGAGAAACATTAAAATTTTAAAAGTAAATCACGTTTCTCAAAAAACAAGAAGTAATTTTTGTAATTTTGATTAAATCATTAAAAGTATAAAAGAGACATTAAAAATGTGTTTTTACATATATTTTCCATATATATGAAAATGTTTTGTGATAAAAAATAAAATAATACAAATTTTTTGTTTATATAATTAATTCAAAAGTTTTAATTTAAATATTAAAGTTAAGTTGATAAATGAATAATATAAAATTAAGTGACTAGTGACCATTATTGAAATTTTTGTTCTTACAGTGTTTGGCTAAAAGCATATCCTTGGATTGATTTTGGGTATCAAAATTATTATAATTTTCGTCAAATTGACCCTTAAAGTAGATCGTATTCAATATGATTATTTCAGTATTTTTATCGATACTGTTCGGTGGTAGCAAATTTTGTATGCACCTTTGCGTCGTGCACGTAACAATATTATTGATGAAATCCCTTACGAGATCGGGACGCATATTAAAATTGCATTCCTTCACAGAATTAGTAGCTGAATGTAAGTTCAATGTCTCGATAAACAACCCTTTTGAAATATCAATTATAATTTTATAATAAATTCGACACGTATAGGAGTTCTCGGGTCCATTTTCCTGAAATAAAGATAAATAAATTATATGATTCTCTCTCTCTCTCTCTCTCTCTCGCCCTCCTCCTTTTTTCTCTCTCCCCCTTTCGCCCTTTCTCCTCCTTTTCCTCTTTCTTTACAAGATAATAAATGTTCGTTACAACTTTCATTACAAGATACCATAAAATTCATTTATTAATTAAAAGTTTTATAATTTTATACATTTGAAAACGTCAGCGATAAATCATATTCTCGCGTATTCTTTGTATGACAGTGTTAATCACACCTGAGATAATTACTCACTATGTAACAAAAATTATTGACTCCTCCATTGGTATAATATTCTTCAATAGTCTGTTTTGATATGTTATCAGGAATATGGAGAATCTGCCTAAGAGTAAATTCCAAATCGTAGAGAGAACCGAAATATACCAAGAGTAGAGTATGATATAAGAGATGCGGGCTAAAAAAAATATTATTTTTTGGCTTCATCATGATACACTTCTTCAGGCAATCAAGGGCGAATTTAAAACGAGCCTCTGCTAACATCTTTAAAAAAAATTAAAATTTTCTATAAAATTTAGTCTGTAAAAAAATCATATATATATATATATATATATATATATATATTTGTAAATATCATAAAACTAAATTGAGAGAAATAAAAAATTACAAAATTAAGTCACAATTAATATTATATGTGAATTAGAGAATTAGCAAAAATATGTTTTATCGTATATACATATAATGTTATAGGCATTTTACCGTGTTTGCTAAGATTAGCAATTTAATGTACCTTTGATATAATCCTTAGGCTAACGACGCAGTCCAATACAAATTAAAATTATCGATCAACAGGCCAAAAAATTTATTTAAATTGGCGAAAATGGCGAAATTGGCAACAAAATATAATATAGTTGTCCAATTCAGTTTGTACCGTAAAATGGTGAAATTCTTCGAATCTGATGATAGAATACAACAGGATCAATAACATATAAGCAGTCAAGATTAATCGATAGTGTTATTTATGTATATATAATATTAAAACGCGATTTGACGAAAATACGACACATAAAAACTTTAAATAAAGCGCGAAGTCTTGTGGATAGATTTTATTTATTGTTTACATAAACTAGCTATAATGAACTCAATAATGAACTGTTATCAGAAAGAACTTTTCACAGCTCATATTGAAATTAGAATGTCTGACTTGAAAATAATATGTGATATCAATAAGTTGTAACGTATCGGTTTTAGAAGAAAATAAGTGTCTTTTTTTTTAAATTACATGACATCTAAATCTAATCTTATAAATAAGAAAATGTTTATGCATTAAGAGTTGCTGTATATCACGTAAATCCCTGAATCAATTTTTACATAAAATTAAATAAAAATTCTATTATCAAAATACATCTTATTTGTTTTTATCATAAAACTCTATTTTGAAGTTTGAAAAATCATTTCTCATTAGATTGGATTAAAGATCTCATAAATATTACGTCTTTTGTATTATATATTTTTTATTTATAAGAAACATGAATATTTTGCCGCGTAATTGCTTACTAAGCATTTATAAGTAGATATCATGAACTTTTTTTAGAAGATACTTTACCGAATGATAATTTTTTAATATTTTAATGGAGTTTTTAAAGAATTATTTTTTAACAATGCTCTCACTAGGTATTTTCTGCGTTAATTATGTTCTGAATTTATAATTAAATTGATGATTTAAATTTATATTCACTATAATATTTTTTTCATGTTGCTGACGAATTATTATAATTGGAGTGAGTTGAGTAATATAATTTAATTACAGTTACACATAACATGACACAATTCAAAAATTGTTATTTTTTAGTTGCTTACAGAAAAAGAACAGGAACATAAAGAAAAAAAGAAAAAAATTAACATACTTTAAAAGTACATACCTTTGTTACTATGCCTATATAATCAGTTATTATGTTAAATTTAATCATTCCAGATATTTGAACTTATTTTTCGAAGAATTTTGTTTTTAATTGCGTCATTGTAGAAAATGAGCGATATGTCTAAAAATATTTTTATTAAAGTTTTTTTTGTATATAAATCTCCGCAACAAACGCGATTATTTTTAAAATGTGTTCTCGAGAAAACCTCTCGGAAGATGTCAATCTGTCTTTATTGTCTTATTTAATCCCGAAATTGCGACTGAAATCGGTATAATTTCATAACATTGATGAATATGATTTTTTTATCTTCGTAAATAAATTAACTGAAACAAAATAAAATAAAAATATGAAGCTATACACGAAGAGAATTATGTTTTAAAATTCACCCTGAAAATATGATAGTTGTGTATACAATACAATATTTTAAAGATTTTTACCATGCACTTCAGTAAAATTAATCAAACTTATTTTATATTTTATTGTAGTTTTTATTAATGAGAGAAATTTACATAAAATTCAAAATACAATGTTGTCTCGAATTATTCGTATTTTCAGCGTAAACTCTGAGAAAAAATTTTCTCCGTATATCATTATTAAAATTTTAATATATTTTCATATATATATACTATTTATTTCTTTACAGAAGTTATTTATTTTTGTAGATGTAATTCTTCTTTTCTCGTTTTTCCAACAAATTTTTCATATTTTATACTTCAATATATTCAAAAAGTTTGTAACGTTATTTTCTTTTGTTTCAATTTATTTCTTTACAACAATGAGGGGAAATCATAATGTTTACTAAACAGATACTTTATAATTTTTACTTATCAAATAATTAAG